GCTGCAGTCTGTCTGATTGCCCTTCTCCTCGACGTGAAGGGATCGATAAAGCCTCTTCTGCAAGGGGGATGTGAAGTCAAGTAGAACCTCACAAATAATGACATTTGATTGTGGTCCTCTGAGCATATGAGCTAGCCATTGATCGCTTCTGCTTGAGAGCCGCTGGAGGCTTGCTGATCTGCCCATCTTCTGGGGTCTCTTCCAGACAGTTAACACATTAGAAGCAATTTTTGTTCAACAGGGTTGAAGCTTGGCAGTCACACTTCCAGGTGTCTGGTCGTGTAGAGCTCCAGTTTGGGAGGCTTTTGCTGGGAATTGCCAGGGGAGTGAGAATGGCCACTTACCCGTGCTGTTCAAACAGCAAGAAGCAAGGTTCCTGGCTTAAATTAACTGCTGTTCTTTTCTCCTTCCAATATTAATACAGTTTTGCTGGTCTGGGTTTTGTGTGGTGGAATGAGGAGCCATGACCAGGAGACAGACCCCAGATTTGCTGCGCCACTATCAAAGTCTGCAGCCGCTTGTCTGGTCGGAGGGATCTGGGATAGCGCCAGGGTGACGAATTGCCAGAGGGCTTACGTTAACACAAGTGGTGATTCCATCACTTGGCGGAGAGCCCAAACTGGCAACCGGCTGTATTTGTCTCATGTCTATATTGACATAGCATCTGTGGTCCATTTGCTCTGGAAATTAAAGCATAAGCTGTGCAACCAATAGCTGCTAGATCTTAGGAACGGAAAAACAATCCAGGTTACACGATTGCTGGGGAGAAGGGCAGAAAGACGTGCTCACTGAAAGGTTTACCTGATGTGCAGGAAGTGTTTTGGGTTGGGTGGTTTTTTTTTTTGAGAAGAAAAGAATTACTGGAATTTCTCCTACAGCAAACAGGTCTGTGTGGTGGTGCAAAACATTGCGCCCGTGTAAGAGACCGCGTGCAGGAGCTGAGCGATTCCTGGTTGCCATCTGATGCTCTGTTACGGGCTCCCTTAGAAGGCACAGAGCTAACGGGCTCTACATTTTCATGCTGTTATAATTGAGGAGAAAAGATCGAGGAATTTGCTTAAAAACAGGGAGTGACCTTTCTACTTTAATCAGTGTTACTTGTAAACATGCAAATTAGCTTCGATAATGTGCAGAGTAAAATATTAGGCACGTGCTTGAACTGGGTATTGATCACCTGCATATTGTTATTAACAGTCTGCCAAATAAATAGCTTAAAGGACATAACAGCGGATGAAGTGGTGGCTGATTGAGTTTCGTTATCCTGGTGGACAGGGCAGCCATAGCTACCTCTTTGCTCTTCTCCCACATAATGTAACTTTATTGTTGGGTGAAGTTGCCACCCTGTTGGCAGTGCCAGAGAGCTGAAGCTGGTCCCTCGTCAGTGGAAATGGGGAGAGCTTCTGTGCAGCCCAGGGAATGACGCGGCTTCTGCTCCAGCTGAGAACCCAGCAACTTCACACTGATTGTTAAATCCTGCAGTGTTCTTGGGGTCCATGGGGCGTGTTGTCAGCTCAGGCTTTTATAAGAAAAAAAAAAGGGGGGGGTTCTTTAATGAAGAGCGAGAAATGATCCAAAACGGTGACATGATTTAAAATTATCGTCTAGAAGAGAGTCCCCCTCCTCAGCAGGTCTGCTGTCCTGCAGCCGCTTGGGCTAGCAGAGCTGGAGGGCAGCTCCTTCTCTCCCCCCAAGACATACACCAGGAGTTTTGGCGTGCCCTCCGCCCCAGCTCCCAGTACTACATGTGACCAAATTTGCACACTTTCCAAGCGACCAGAGGCATTGTCCAGATGCTCCAGAGTGTGGATTGTCTCGTCTTTAAATACTTCTCAAATCTCGAGCAGATTTAATTTATACTGGTTTTGCTCCAGAAAAGAAAAGCAATCCAGACTTGGAGATTCCAGGCTTTCAGTTCACTGGTATGGCTGATTTTCTCTTTCCATCCTGACAACTAAAAATGCTTTGACTTACCAAAAAAAAAAAAAAGAAGACGTAGTTGTGGGTGCTAAGTTAAGGGACGGAAGACTAGGCTCCTCTCCCTGTGTCTGTAGTGTATTACTTACTGTGGTGCTGGGCAATGCCTTGATCAGGGGTGTGAGGATATCATTTTACCTCTTTTTGCTCATTTGTTGGTAAGCAGGTAGAAAATATTTTAAGCTCTCTCTGTAGTTTGAACATTGGCAGTCATGCAGTACGTAAAAATAGTCAATTTTATTTTGTGGACATAAAGTTGAAAGGCCTTAGAAATTCATGGGGTGGTTTCACCCACATTTTAGGAGTGTTATTTATCAATGTTGTGAAATGGTACGCTTGATTTCTATTTTTTTTTTACTTATTTTATTTTTTCCCCAGTAGACTACTTCTGAAGAGGGCATTGAGTGCTTAGGTTAGAAAGACAGCTTCTGGCTGGTGGCATCAGGCGAGTTGTCACAGCACTTTCTTTCCTGGGAATCTTTGGGACATAGCCTGGGCTGTGTTCTGGAGCCTCCGCCCTAAGGATTTTATAAGAAATAAAAGATAAAATGTAAACAGAGCAATGTATAAACAAATACCCAAGAGACTAAAATCTTCTTTCCAACTAAAGCATTTGCAGCCGAAGAGCGTTGTACCAATTAGCAGGCTTTTAATTAAATTGTTTGATTTGCATCCAATTTATAATTTGGATGTTATGTAGGCTGTGATACCTTTTCATTAACTGTTCCTTTTGAGAGGAAAAAAAATAAATCTATTTTTTACAGTGTGTTTCAGAGGCCTGTGGCATCACAAGGTGGAAAGGCCAATCATTTTTGTATCCATTTAAAGTCCATTATTGGTAGCCCACTACAACCTATCAAGCAACTCTCTTATTTTTCCAGTCAGTGATTCAGGAATCTATAGCTCTGTGCAGATAAATGGGATTTCATGGCCTTCTAAACTTCTTGCTTTATTGAAAAGCAGAATATTAACTGCTCCACTGACCAGCTGTCCGTTAAAAACACAGGATATTTTTAGAAAATTGTTTGCCAATCAAATCCTACCAACATCTGTAGAGAGCCTTTTCAGTTTGTTTGTTTTATAAGCAAACGCTACAGCTGCTTTCCCACCTCCATTGAAATATTCCCATTTACCTGCTCTCCATGTCTCTGTCCGTGTCTCGGGGCATTCTGAGGCATTGTAAGGAGCGCAGCGTGTTAGCTGGAATTGTAAAACTGAGCTTTAACAAGTCCATTTGGTGCTGGTCCTTGCTGGTCTATGGGGCCCCCTGCTCTATTTGCCGTTCAGTGAAATTAGTGCCCTGCATTTTTTGCTATTCCCAGGGCTTAAATGGGCTCTGTTAGCCCTCAAGACTGCAGGCCAGGCTCTAGGTGATTAGGGAGCTCGACACCTGGCTAATAACCGGCTGGGCTTCGGGGGATGCAGCCTGGCAAGGCGTGCAAGGGCAGACGCAGAGAGCTTGTTGCTCTGGTCTTGCGAGCTGGCAGCTCGCTCTGTCCCTCGGTGGCCAGCAAACACTTTAACCCGTTGCTGCTAGCAAAGGGAGCGTGCCAGTACTTCTGCCCTTCCTATCCACCGCCGGGAAAATGCCAGCTCCTGACCCCGTAGACTTGAATGTTAGTGACAGGAAGAGCTGAAGAGCTACTGGAGAGAGTCCAGCGGAGGGCTACGAGGATGGTGAGGGGACTGGAGCATCTCCCTTACGAGGAGAGGTTGAGGGAACTGGGCTTGTTCAGCCTGAAGAAGAGAAGGCTGAGAGGGGACCTTATAAATGCCTACAAATATCTGAAGGGTGGGTGTCAGGAGGATGGGGCCAAGCTCTTTTCAGTGGTGCCCAGTGACAGGACAAGGGGCAATGGGCACAAACTGAGGCACAGGAAGTTCCGTCTGAACATGAGGAAGAACTTCTTCCCTCTGAGGGTGACGGAGCACTGGAACAGGCTGCCCAGGGAGGTTGTGGAGTCTCCTTCTCTGGAGATATTCAAGACCCGCCTGGACAAGGTCCTGTGCAGCCTGCTGTAGGTGACCCTGCTTCGGCGGGGGGGTTGGACTAGATGACCCACAGAGGTCCCTTCCAACCCCTACTATTCTGTGATTCTGTGATTCTGTGAACATCTTCAGACTTAACACAGTTCTTCCAGCCCCACTGTCATTCCCGGGTGGGTGCCTCAGCACCAGCTTGCTATGAATCAGATCAACAAATGCACCCGCGTTTGTTTAAAATTCACCAGATTTGCTTCGTGCTTCAGTGAAGGAGATCCTTCAGGTCTGGTGCCAGGTGCTGGCAGGCCGGGATTTCAGGGAGGCTGGCAGGGCCCCCTGCCTCTCCAGGTGACGCCCCGTGGTTTGGCTGGATGTTTCCTCTGGGACTGCTGCTTTTCGATCAGATATGCCAAGTGACCTGATCCTCTCTGTGTATTTTGAAGCCATAGAAATCAAAGACAGAAGATATTTTCCACTTGGAGAATTCTTATGATTAAATGTTTTCACCTCTGTCTTTTGTTTTGCCACTTCATTTTAATGAATATTTTATAGAGATTATCTTTTTATAAGGCAAAACTGTAAGGTCTGCTCCAGCTTTTATGTCAGTGCAATGCCAACTTTGCCACCTTATTTTACCCCATCAGATCAGAATCCATTTTGCAGACTGAAGTGGACTCTCAGTTTAAAATAATTCTGGGTTTTGTGGTATATCGGAACAAGGTGCTGAAGAAAGTGGCGTCAGCTAAAATTTTGCTCCCTCCCTTGCTTCACCCTTGATGACCCCTCTCCTCTTTGCTGCAGGGCATTGATTTCTGTCCTGGGCAGAATGTCTCTGGAGTGACAACACATACGCAGGAGGAGCACACTACCCTGCCGCTGCTTTTCCACCTGGGGAGGGACCCTGGAGAGAAGTACCCATTAAGGTGAGCCAGTTAACGAAGATGTGAAAACTCTCGGCATTGTCAGTGTATGCTTTATAGAATTCATTTGCCTTGGTAGCTGTTTCTTGCAATCTGCTTGAAAACTGTCCCAGAAAGCCACTGCTGGTGAGAGTAGTAGAAAGAAAGGAACAAACCTTCCTTTTCAGATGGTCAGGTTAGAAGGATGTGGACGTGTCTATGGCTCAGCTCGTCAGGCCGGTGGTTCTTGTTCTGTGTCCTGCCACCCCTGACACAGAAGGCAAAACACGCACTTTTGGACAGGAGGGGACTGAGTGCAGGGCAGCTGTGGAATAAAGCAGTGGTGCTGATTCTCTGTGTGTTTTGGGGCTAGGGAAGAAATGTCTAGTGATCTCTGTGTTTTTCCTCCGTGCCTTCCACGATTCCAATGCAAACACCGTAACCTTCCAATCTCCCAGCCCTTGCTAAAGGAGCTTCTACAGAGGGTCTTTAGCAAGAGGACTATCTGCCCAATTTTGTTCCCTCTTTGGACTCTTCTGGCTGTCTGAATCCATTTTCCTATAAGCCTACTATTGTAATATTTATCTCCGGCACACACCATGCCCTGGGAAATTTCTGTAGGGATTTATGTAGTCATCACCAGCACAGCCTACATGTAAACCTGCCACCTCCAAAAAAGCTCCCAAGGTGTCCTCACCTCCCTCCCTCACTCCTTTGACTGACTGAGTTTTACCCTGTGGCAAAACTACCTGCAAACGGGGACGCGCAGCCTCGTCCCTCACCAGTGGCTCTGACTCGGAGAATGTGGAAATAAATAAAGAGAAAACTAATGCTGCTGTGACTGCCTGCACAGAAATGGTTTTGTGCAGCAGCTTTAACAGAGAGATGTTTTCTGAGCTGACAGGACTGCAATTACTCAACTGTTTTAAATAATTGAGTGGATACACTCGCTCCATTACTTTCAAAAGAACTGAGCCTGTGCTGTCCACTAAGTGTTTTCACTAGAGAGAGAAGGGGAGAAAAAATATTTTCACTTCTCTCTCACTTAACAGACAAGCACCCTAGAGGTGCATTATGCGGTGTATAAAGCTCTTCAGAAGCCCAGCACTTCAGCTCTCGCTTTCTATTGCATTTCAGCACTAATGAATAAAGCAAATCTGCAGCTCTTGTCTTTTAAATTCAGCTCAGTGAAACTACGCTACTGGGGTGGGATTCCAGATGAGACTATGCCCTGTTTGGTTTAACAACCATTTTATTTTAGGAAGATGAGTGGATAGAAATGACCTCTTTTTCCAAAAATCAAACAAATGGGTAGTATTAAGTGAACTGTAGTTTGCCTGCTGTTCGTGTTTCCTCTGAATTTGAGGGAGAGGAGCTCTTCCCTAGGAGGTGTTTGCAGGACACTTGCTTCCCTGTTACTTAGGTGCTCCTGACAACTCCCATGGATTGAGCATTGAAATAAATTCCAGTGTTACATCTGCAGTCATTTCTCATGTGGTTCTATTGATTTTTGGACACTCACAAGCTGTTGCTTTGATTGAATTTTATGGCAAGATTATGACATGATTATGGAAAGCTGTGATGTTGTTTAATATGAAGACCATAATAGAAAGCCTCTTTTTCCTAAATGAATCTTCCTTTCTGCAACACGTTCTGTTGCTATTGTCTCCTCTCTGGTCACAATGGAAAACTCATGGGAAGTGGGTCTCCTGTATCGAATGTGGTAATTAAATTATCGTCATTTGTGGAGCTGTTACTGTTGTGTATTTTTATTTAGCTTAATTATCCCCCTTGGCAGACAGCCTGTTGGGAGTCCCGACACTAATGTTTCTCAGAAGGGAATCCAGCATTCTCCTCCAAGCGTGCATCTGTCTGTCCGTACACGCTGGGTGTGCTCGTATCGCTTGTGCTCCAGCCCGAGGTTTGTGTGTGTTCGCAGTCCGTGTTGGCCACGCTCCTCTGTTCCCCCTCCTGCAGCCCTGGAGGAACAGGCTCTCTCATATAGCTGTTTCACCACCTTGGCACTTCTGGTGCGTCGTTATGTTGCCAAAGCATTTAGAAAAATTTGCATTGCACCCCTGATTTATTGGTACCTCTCCCTCTTTTATGTAATTTACTGTTATCGCTTTGCTTTGTTAAATCTGTACTGGATTTTATTAGTTTTTCTGCTGCCATGAAGGAGGCTGTGAAGGAGCAGTATGGCACACCAATGCCCTCTTCTCTCTGCCTGCTTTTGCTCATGTTTGGTTTCATCTATTCCTTATTTTAGCGCAGCCTTTTCTTCTCCCTAAAATGATTTTTAAAATCTGTCATATCTCTTGATTTGCATTAGTGTGGAGTGGGGTCATATGCAAAACCACTGGTAAGAGGTTCCATTGCTGGGCGTGAAGGCCAGGCGCCACACGCACCTCCAGAGAAATTTACTGCTGATATATTTGAGCTCCTGCTAGGATCCTAGGAGATGTAGAGGCAGGGCATCCTAAAAATCAGTCTGCTCAGTCAACTGCAGCAACACTGTTGACTTGCAGGGTGCTTGTGCTCAGGCAGTCTCATCTGAGACGTCTTTGGGTCGTGACACTGTGCACACGAGGTACTGCACGACACTGAGACTTTTTCAAGGCTACCATTTCAGTTCATCTCATAACACGGGGATTAGCCTTTCCAGTCTGCGTTGGAGAACTGGCTGCTAAAGGGATCACTGAAGACCAAAGTCCTTTGAGATCTAGAGACAGCACGTAAAGTTTTCAGTTCCCTGGGTTTTGTGGTAAAGCAGGACAAGTCCTTCCTCTTCCTGACACAGTTCACTGGATTTCCTGGGGACTGCCTGGAAACAATATCGGCAAAAGCTTATCCCCACAGGACCACTTTTCATGCAGTGGAAAAACTGGTCAGGCAGTTACAGGCAGGTCCTGTCATCGTGCGGAGGACACGTCTGGCAGTGCTGAGCCGTATGGCACGCTGCATTTACGTTCCTCTTCATGTAAAGCTGTGTGTGCATCCCTACCCGTGTCTGACTCTAGGAACAGACCCTCCCAACAGGGCTGGGACTGTTCATCC